CCACGGGGGTGCGACTGGGTGTGGTCGTGCTGGGGTGTGGTCGTGCTGGGGTGTGGGTGTGGTCGTGCTGGGGAGTGGTCGTGCTGGGGTGTGGTCGTGCTGGGGTGTGGTCGTGCTGGGGGGTGGTCGTGCTGGGGGGTGGTCGTGCTGGGGGGTGGTCGTGCTGGGGGGGTGGTCGTGCTGGGGCGTGGTCGTGCCACCCCGCGAAACATCCCACGAGACACCTCACGAAACATTCCACGAGACACCTCACGAAACATTCCACGAGACACCCTTTGAAACATTCCACGAGACACCCCACGAACAGGCAACCACTCAACCAGACACGCCACGAAACATTCCACGGGGGTGCGACTGGGTGTGGTCGTGCTGGGGTGTGGTCGTGCTGGGGTGTGGTCGTGCTGGGGTGTGGTCGTGCTGGGGTGTGGTCGTGCTGGGGGTGGTCGTGCTGGTCGTGCTGGGGTGGTCGTGCTGGGGGTGGTCGTGCTGGGGTGTGTGGGGCGTGGTCGTGCTGGGCGTGGTCGTGCTGGGGCGTGGTCGTGCTGTGGTGAGGTCGTGCTGGGGTGTGGTCGTGCTGGGGTGTGGTCTTGCTGGGGTAGGGTCGTGCTGGGGTCGGGTCGTGCTGGGGTGTGGTCGTGCTGGGGTATGGTCGTGCTGGGGTGGGGTCGTGCTGGGGTGGGGTCGTGCTGGGGTCTGGTCGTGCTGGGGTGTGGTCGTGCTGGGGTATGGTCGTGCTAGGGTGGGGTCGTGCATTTCGCTCGAGACATCCTGCCAAAATTCCAGGAAATCGTACAAAAACAAACAAATTAGTCGAGACATCATCGAAATTCCTTCGCGCGGGGCGCTTTTCCGCGTCGCGGTCGGCTCTGCAAAACAAGCGTTTCGCTCGAGACATCCTCGGCAAACTCTGCGGAGCAAGCGTTTCGCTCGAGACATCCTCAACACACGAAAAAGTGGCCCGCACCCTGTGATTTATCGATCGGGATTTCAAAAACAAGCGTTTCGCTCGAGACATCCTCAAATTTTAATTCGCCGGCCTCCTTCGACCTCGATATTTATCAGGGAAAAAATTCGCCGGCCTCCTTCAAGTTGGCACCGGGGGACAGGTTTACCAACTAAAAGAGAACCCTGGGCCGGCGCCCTTTCCGGGAAAAAAATCAGCACTTTACCTCGTTATTTATCGCAAATAATTTCGCCGGCGCTTGACCCGTCAGATCCGGGGGTAAACGGCTAAAAGAGAACCCTGGGCCCGCGCCCTTTCCGGGAACCACTTGTGCCCCCCCCCCAAGGCAGCTGCGAATCAAACTGGCTTGGTGGCGGGTCGTTGCTGGCCGAGGGTGGGCCCCCCAGTCCAGCGTGGGTTGCATGTTGCGCCTGTCCTCTGCTCGAGTAGCCCACCCGCTCTCCTGGCAGCGTTCCTGGAGGCGTCGTTGAAGTCGTTGCTGCTGCTGCTGAGCGGTGCCCTGGAGTGGCTCTTTTGGTTTGTTTCGCCCAGAAACGCCACCTGTGCTCCCCTGGACAACAGTGAATCCAAAAAGGAGGCGGGTGGACGTTGCTGGATTGGTTGGCTCCACGGTCCAGCGTCGGCGACGCGGCGCGCCTGACCGCCGCTCGAATAGCTCGCCCACTCTCTTGGCAGGGCGCCCAATCTGAACCGTGCATGTTCTATGGTTTCGCTGCGTCTTGCTGGCCACTTCGGCTGCTGCTGTAGCGCGGTGTGCTAACCCACAAGCTGGCGCCACATCAGCGCGTCGACTGCTGGCTAGACTCCCGAGTGGAAGTGAAATTGGGGCCGTCGGTGGAGTCGCCGGCAACGCAGGGGTCGCGCAACTGGTCGCGTCGGGTCGAGGCGGTTCCCTCGGGGGCGTCGGCAATCGCACGGCCTCCTGGGGCGGGCCAATTGCACGCGCTGCTGGTCGGAAATTGGTCGGACTTCGCGTCTGGGCTGGTGGCCCCCCAACGGGGCGTGTCCTACGCAGTTTTCCGGCGCGTCCGATCCCGACCCGCTGGCAGGGTCGTCGGACCCAATCGGAATGCGCTGGTCGGGGTCGTAAAGGCCGTCGCCCTCATCGGGGGCGCGCACCTGGCGGTTGGGTTCCCCCCTCGATCTAGCGTTTCGCGGGGCAGACTTGGCGCGCGCAGGGGGGGGCGACCTGGCGCGCTCAAGCGCGTGCTGGGGGGCCAAGGGGGCGAATGGTTGGATGGGTGAGCAGTGGGCGATCGGCTTTGGGGAATTCGGCGGCGTCGCTCGCATGCCCTGCAAGTTGGTGCATGAAGGCTGCGGTCGAAGGTGTCTGGAAGCGTCGCGCTGGTCCTCGGGTTGGGTGGATCTGGAGCGCGGTGGTGGCGTCGGCATGCTGGTGGCGGGGGGGAGATGATCGCCGCTGGGGTTCGCTGCTCTGCTGGCGGTGTCGGTGGGGCTGGAGCCCTCGGATTATTCTGGATCGCTGCTGGTGCTGGCTCGTCTTGAAGGTCGAGGTCGCCGGAGTGGCCGAATCCCAATCGGTCTGCTGCGTTTGTTGCAGGTGACGCCATGGGCGTGGGTGCTACTGCTGTCGGGGTGGTGAAGGTCGACCGTTTCCCGCTGTCTGTCGGCTGGCGGTGGCGTCGCTGGCGGTGGGAGCGGCGCATGTTGGTCGCGCGGGGGTTGCGGTCCTTCCTGGAGGTGCTGCCCCGTTTCGCAGCGGATGTTTTTGCTGCCGCAGTGCCTGCCGAACTCGACGTCGCACTGACAAGGCGCCCACGAGGAACACACAGCGCGCTGTCTGCAAAAATGCGGGGACGCCAGCCCTGCCGGTGATCCCGAAGAGGAGGGCATTAGCGGTCGGGTCGAGTGGTCTTGAGTCCGCGTAGCCTGGTTCCGCCCGACGGACGCAATATGCCTCGCGTCCATCGACGCGTTCCTGCGCGCTCGTCCGGGCGACGGCGTACAAGGCATAAATGAGGTCGTTGTTATGGCGCGTTTCTTCCTCTGGGGCCTGGCGCTGCAGCTTGGCGTCGCTGTCTGGGTCGACGTCGAAGGCGCCCGCAGTGCTGCCCATGAGGTCGACGTCGACGTTGCGAGCTCCTACAGATAACGACTCCGCGAGGGCCCTCTCGGGCAGTCGGTGGCGCGCGCGGTGCTTCTCCAACTACTTTTCGCGTAGCTCGCGGTGTCCTTGCTCTTGCTCATGACGTCGTCGGAGCGCCGCGTGGATGTCGGCGTCGCCCTGTTTCCATTCGCGCTGCATGGCCCCCATCTGTTCGTGCAGTTCCAATAGTCGTTCTCTTTGGCCCTTTGGTGCTGCTCGCGTTCCGTCTGTTGCTGGGCGCGCGCCTGCGCGCGGTAGGTCTCGTCGCTGCGGAGCCCCATGCCGATTGACGGTGCGTTTTTCGTGTAAGCTATTTCCTTCGCAATCAGCTGGTCGAACTGCTTCGAGAAGCGCCGTGGAGCTGCGATCCGATGCTCGGCCCGTCGGTGAACAACGTCGCGTTCGGCAGAAATAAAACGATTCGTCTGCATGAGCTCCTGGGCTGCAATTGCGGACTGCCGATGCGCGAAGTCTTGCTGTCGCTGCTCCTCGCGATGTGGTTGGGCGCTAGCTTTGGCGATCTCTTCGGCCAGTTCGTCTGTCCTCTTCATCTCCCGGGCGGCCATGGCTTCGGCTGGTCGGCGCGCTGCTGCATGCGCTGGCTGACTGTGCGCAGTGGGCGAATATGGTGTTGAAGTTCGTGCCGCTGCTGCTGGCCATGCTGATGATTTGCCATGGCCTGGTTGCCTGTGGAACGCTCGGTACGAGCGTCGTCGACCATGCTGCACGCCTGCTTTTGCTTGTCCTCGCTAGTCATTTGCTTTCGCATGAAGCCGCCCTCATGTTCCTTTAGCTTCTCGTCGCTCTTGATGCTCATGTGCTCGAAGCTCTTCGTGATGATCATCATCGTCTCCTCGTATATATTTGCCTTGCCCCTCAACTCTGCATTTGCTTGCTTTAGACTGTATGTTACGCTTCCTTCTTATGTTGTTGTTTCTGCCTAAGCCCCTCCGCCGTACCCGTTGTCGGTGATTCTGGTCTGCTTGGTTGAGATGGCGGCGATGACTTTCGGCTTCGATGTGGCTTTCTGCTTCTCAACGTGCATGGCGTCGCTGCCCTCATTACTTTCTTCTCTCTCTTTTTCCCCTTCGTAGTCAGCTTCGCAGGCCGTATCAGCCTAGGCAGCGTCGTTGGGGGGGAGATCTCGTTTCCCCGAGCTTGTCCTCCGTTACCGGGAATGCGTACTCAGCGATGTATATGCTGCCGCCGTCGGAAACATTGCAGTTCTTGGCGCTGCGTCTCTTCCTCGAAACTAATCTGCGATTGCTTGTTCATGGCTAAGGTTGCGGCTAGGCGTGGGTGTGTGGTCCCTGCTCGTGACCACCTTTCCCCAATGTCCCGTGCGATCGTTGAGCGTGTGGTCTCTGCTCCTGACCACCTTTCCCAGCGCCGTTGGGTCGGGACCCGAGGTGCGTGGTCCCTGCTCCTGACCACCTTTCCTTCGAGCCTCCTGCTTGCTGCCAGTAGCCTTGCTGCGCCATCGCGTCCTCCTGGTTCTGCTGCGGCTGCTGGGACCTGTGGTGGGCGTTGAGTCTGTTCGCGGCTCACTACCCTGATGAGGAGACGATCCTGTCCTCGGAGGGCTCGGTGGCGGAGGTGCCGGGACTTCTCCCGCCACATGGGCGTCTTTGGAGTCCTGGCCGCTGGTCGCGGCGGCATTATTTTCTTCTTTTTTTCTTATTATTTTTTGATGGCTCGCGCGCGAGCCGCGACCGACGGGGGCGACCGACGAGGCGACGGTCCCGCCCCTTGAGCCAAAATGGATTGAGCCAAAATGGCTACGGACTCCTCCTCCTTCTCCTCCTCCTCCTCCTCATGCTATTCCTCCTCCTCTTGCTCCTCCTCCTGCTCCTCCTTCTTCTCCTCCTCCTCCTCCTCCTCCTCCTCCTCCTCGCCCTCCCAATGCGTGCGCGCGGCGCTCGCGGCGCCTCACCTGAACGGCCTGCCCCCTCCCTGGCTGGCAGGGCGGGCGGGCGCGCGGATGGACCGGAAGACGGTGCCGTGCGGGGAGGCTGGGGCCACGAGGCCTGGGGAGATCCGGCTCCGCACCGCGGGGGGGGGGGCAGGTCGTTCAGCCGGCAGGTGATATTGTCGAGGCTCAGAGGAGGGATGCAAGACAAGGTTGCAAGGGCCTTGGAGGACCATGCCGACGCCTTTCGAGAGGGGGGCGCGGCCAGCGAAAATGGTCAAGGACGAGCAGAAAGGGAAGCATGCGAGGGCAGCCTTGGAGCATCGCTCCCCCTTTGCTGTGCGACTGGGCCGTGCCGAGCCGTCGTGCGAGGAGGAGGAGGAGGAGGAGGAGGAGGAGGAGGAGGAGGAGGAGGAGGAGGAGGAGGAGCGCGGAGGTGGGGAGGTGCTCGAGTGCTCGAGTAGGGGGCCACATGCGAGCCCTACTCCTGCCCCACACGATTTCTGAGGGGGAGGGTGGGGTTCACTTCGCTCGGGAGCTCCCGAGCGAAGTGAACCCGTGAAACGCTTGCAAATGTCATGAACGAATGCGCGTGGCGCTACAGCGAGAGCCACATTTTGAAAAGGAGCCGCCCTCATTCCGTGAAACTCTAGCACATGCTTAGAACGAATGTGCGCCTCGCTAAGGCGAGAGACACATTTTGAAAACGGCTTATCCTCAATGCGTGAAACTCTTGCGCAATCTAAGAGAAATGTGCGCGGCGCTAAAGCGATAGCCACATTTTGAAAACGGGTGATCCTCAAACCGTGAAGCTCTTGCAATTTCTTAGAACGAATGTGCGCGGCGCTAAAGCGAGAGCAACATTACACCTAAGCAAACCCAAATCAGTGGATGCTCTGAAAATTAGTCATACGGATCTTGAGATCGAATGTGAGATCGATAATGAGATCGATAATGGAATCGATACTTAACGATTGTAACGTCGACCGTGAGACCGAGAGTGAAATCGATTCAATGAGATCGATAGGGAGATCGATCGCGAGATCGCTCGTGCGATCTCTAGTGAGAACGCTTGCGAGGTCGATTGTTAGATCGATTGTGAGATCGATGGTGAGATCGATAGAGAGGTGGGAAATGAGATCAATGCTGAGACCGACCGATAAGAAGATCGACCAAGCACCCGGGAACCTGGGAACCTCGCCGCCCGCCGAAATCGGCCCGGGAACCGGGAACCTGGGAACCCGGAACCGGGAACCCGGGAACCCGGCCTGCCACCAAAATCGGCGTGAAACATTCGCCTTCTCTTTCAATTACACCTGAGAGAACCCCAATCAGTGGATGATTTGAAAATTAGTCATATGGATATTTAAATCGATTGTGAGATGGATAATGAGATCGATAGTGGAATCGATACTTGACGATTGTAAGGTCAATCGTGAGACCGAGAGTGAAATCGATTCAATGAGATCGATAGGGAGATCGATCGCGAGATCGCTCATGCGATCTCTAGTGAGATCGCTTGCGAGATCGATTGTGAGATCGATTGTGAGATCGATGGTGAGATCGATAGAGAGGTGGGAAATGAGATCGATGCTGAGACCGACCGATAAGAAGATCGACCAAGCACCCGGGAACCTGGGAACCTCGCCGCCCACCGAAATCGGCCCGGGAACCGGGAACCCGGAAACTTGGAAACGGGAACCCGGCCTGCCACCAGAATCGGCGTGAAACATTCGCCTTCTCTTTCAATTACACCTGAGAGAACCCCAATCAGTGGATGATTTGAAAATTAGTCATATGGACGTTGAGATCGATTGTGAGATCGATAATCGGATCGATAGTGGAATCGATACTTGACGATTGTAAGGTCAATCGTGAGACCGAGAGTGAAATCGATTCAATGAGATCGATAGGGAGATCGATCGCGAGATCGCTCGTGCGATCTCTAGTGAGATCGCTTGCGAGATCGACTGTGAGATCGATTGTGAGATCGATGGTGAGATCGATAGAGAGGTGGGAAATGAGATCGATGATGAGACCGATCGATAAGAAGATCGACCAAGCACCCGGGAACCTCGCCGACCACCGAAACCGGGAACCCGGGAACCCGGAACCGGGAACCTGGGAACCCGGCCTGCCACCAAAATCGGCGTGAAACATTCGTCTTCTCTTTCAATATCCGCTAAGACCTCTTCAGTGCAAGCACTGATTGGGAAATATCCGCTAGGACCCCTTCAATGCAAACACTGATTGGGGAACATCCGCTAGGACCCCTTCAGTGCAAGCACTGACAGGGGAATTTTGAAAACCACCCGCCCTCCGTCTGTGAAGCTGTTGCCAATTTTTAAGGTTCAGAATCATAAATGGTGAGGAAGTCTCAGGCGAAACGCCGGGCCCGCCCTAAAAACTGGCCTCGGGGTGCGACAGGGAGAACTTCTGTAGAAGGAAAAGAAGTGGAGGAGGAGGAGGAGGAGGAGGAGGAGGAGAAAGAGGAGGAGGAAGGAAGGATGAGAACGCGGAAAGCGTTTTTTGAAACCGAAAACCCAACACCACAACACGGTCGGGAAATGCTATCCCACTCCACTCGCCACATGGCAATGACGTGGGGAGCGAACAAGAAGTACACCTCCGCTCTACTCATCACGTGGCAGTGCCGCGCGGACCGAACATATACAAATCTCATTCTACTCGCCATGTAGCAACACCTGGGAGACGAACGCAGATGTTCCATTCGATTCGCCACGTGACAACGCCGCGGGGCGGGAACACATACACCGCCACACAATTCGGAACAGGGCAAGGACAAAGCAACAAACAACGAATAATACCTCAAAACAACCGCCCAAATCGCAGTAACCACAAACGGACCGCGCTGAGGTACCCGATGGAAAACACCACTCGCCGACGCGCTATCCAGAACCCAGTAAACCCAAGAAATCCACGTGTTGATTTTTTATCGCCCTACTACTCTCTCCGTTGCCTTCGTAGGTCTCCCACCTCTGACTGCCCTGTCCTAACTCATTATACGTCCACCAGCCTCCTCTTGCTGCACCCTGGCTCGTCCTACCTTCTCGTCCCTGCTACCATCTCCTGCCCCCATCCCAGTCCTCCGACCTCCTCCTGCCGCCTACTGCCTCGCCCTGCCTCCTTCGAGATCCCCTCCTCAGCTTTTCCAGGCGAGCCCCCTCCCTGCTTGTAGGATCTCGCCCCTCCTGGAGTTTCGGGTTTGGGCCTCCAGCGTTTTCGGGTTTCGCCCCTGTAGGGATTTCGGGTTTGGCCCTGCCCATTTTCGGGTTTCGGGGGGAACTTCCTGGTTCAAGCTTCTTCCGACTACAGGGCCCCCAGAGGTCGAAAACATAGAAAAACCGTCCGAGGGGGACGAGGCTTAAGATCCCAACAGGCCCGACGAGGGTCTGGGGTCTGGGGTTTGGTGGAGTTTGTTTTTTTCCCCACATGCTTCGTGCGGTTATGGTTTTCTTCCCTGCCGCGCCGCACCCGCGTTCACCTTCACCTCCTCCTCCCTCCTCCCCTTCTCACGTAGCGCAACACAGCACAGCATAGCACAGCACAGCACAGCACTGCTCAGCACAGCAGAGCTCAGCTCAGCTCAGCACAGCTCAGCACAGCACAGCTCAGCTCAGCTCAGCTCAGCACGGCACACCACAGCTCAGCTCGCACAGCAGAGCACGCAGGGCTAGCGCGCAGGGCACGGCAGGCGTGACCGCATCGCACCACACACACACACCACACGTCGAAGAGCGTGGCAGGCCCCACATAGAGGGGCACGCGGCAGGCGCGGCAGTTTCTCGACACCATAGGGGGTGCGCAAAGGGGTGGTCTCTCAACGCGGCCTCTATGCGTGCCAGGGTCGGAGAACGTGGCAGGCGTTGTACTTTCTCGACACCATAAGGGGGTGCGCAAGGGGTGGTCCCTCACCGCGGCCGCTATGCACGACGGTCGTCCAGGGCAAAGCAGGCGTGGCATTTCCTCCACACCACTGGGGGTGCGCAGGGAGTGGTCCCTCAGCGCGGCCGCTATGCACGACGGTCGTCCAGTGCATAGCAGGCGTGGCATTTTCTCGACACCACCGGGGGCACGACGGTCGTCCGGGGCATAGCAGGTGTGGCATTTTCTCGACACCATTGGGGGTGCGCAGGGGGTGGTCCCTCAGCGCGGCCGCAATGCACGACGGTCGTCCAGTGCATAGCAGGCGTGGCTTTGTCTCTACACCATAAAAGATGCGCAAAGGGTGGTCCCTCACCGTGGCCGCTATGCGCGCCGGTCGTCCAGGGCATAGCAGGCGTGGCACTTTCTCGACACCATAGGGGGTGCGCAGGAGGTGGTCTCTCAACGCGGCCGCTATGCACGACGGTCGTCCAGGGCATAGCAAGCGTGGCATTTTCTCGACACCATACGGGGTGCGCAGGGGGTGGTCCCTCACCGCGGCCGCTACGCACGACGGTCGTCCAGGGCACAGCAGGCGTGGCATTTGCTTTACACCACAGGGGGTGGTCCCTCACCGCGGCCGGCATGCGCTCCGGCCGTCCAGTGCATAGCAGGCGCTGCATTTTCTCGATGCCATAGGGGGTGTGCAGGGGAATCCGCGACACAGCCGCAAAACCTAGCAGGCGCGGCACTTTCTGGACACCATAAGGGGGTGCGCAGGGGGTGGTCTCTCAGCGCGGCCGCTATCCACGACACTGTCGCAAAGCCAAGCAGGCGTGGTATTTTGCGGACATTATAGGGAGTGCGCAGGGGGTGGTCTCTCAGCGCGGCCGCTATCCACGACACTGTCGCAAAGCCTAGCAGGCGTGGCATCTTCTGGACACCATAAGGGGTGCGCAGGGGGTGGTCTCTCAGCGCGGCCGCTATCCACGACAGTCGCAAAGCATAGCAAGCGTGGCATTTTCTGGGAACCATAGGGGGTGCGCAGGGGGTGGTCTCTCAGCGCGGCCGCTATCCACGACACTGTCGCAAAGCCCAGCAGGCGTGGTATTTTCTGGACACCATGGGGGGTGCGCAGGGGGTGGTCTCTGAGTCCACGACACTGCCGCAAAGCCTGGCAGGCGTGGCATTTTCTGGATGCCACAAAGGGGGTGCGCTGGGGGTGCAGTCGCTATCCGTTTCGGGCTCGCAACTGTGACAAGCGCGGTACTCTCTGGACGCCACAGGGGGTGCGTTGGGGGTGCGGTCGCTACCCGTTTCGGCCACGCAAAGCGTGGCAGGCGTTGCACTTTCTCGACGCCACAAGGGGGTGCGCTGGGGGTGCGGTCGCTACCCGTTCCGGGCTCGCAAAGCGAGGCAGGCGCGGCAACTTTTCGACGCCGAAGGGAGTGCGCTGGCGGTGCGGTCGCTATCCGTTTCGGGCTCGCAAAGCGTGGCAGGCGTGACACTTTTTCGACGCCACAAAAGGGGTGCGCTGGGGGTACAGTCGCTATCCGTTTCGGGCTCGCAAGGCGTGGCAGGCGCGGTACTTTCTCGATGCCACAGGGGGTGCGCCAGGGATGCGGTCGCTGTCCGTTTCGGCTTCGCAAAGCGTGGCAGGCGTGGCACTTTCTCGACGCCACAAGGGGGTGCCTTGGGGGTGCGGTCGCTATCTGTTTCGGGCTCGCAAAGTGTGGCTGGCGCGGCGCTTCTCCTCTTCCACCTCTCCTCTTGAGTGGCGTCACCAACGGTATCGGCGGGGCAACGGCCACCAACATCATTCTCACATGCTTCACTTCAACTATCATCACTCCAGCCATAATATAAGTATGTGGGGTTCCTCGGTAGCGTAATCTTCCCATCCGCGTCGCACCCGCGTCTCACTCACACCCCCGCCTCCCTCCCCTTCTCCTCCTCCTTCCTCCTGCACCCACGCGCAACACACATACACACATACACACACGTCTGGCGTGCGTTCGCACATACACACACACACACACACACGCACGCACGCACACACACACACACACTCACACACAAACACACACTCACACACAAACAAACACACACACACAAACACACCCCCACACACACACTCCAACAACGCTAGTGCAAGTGCACGCCTAGCGTGTTCATTGCATCGTACACCCAAAAGATATGCGGTCCCTCACCGTGTTCTCTATCCGTCTCAGGGTCGCGGGGCGTGGCAAGCGTGGCACTTTCTCGACACCATCGAGCGTACGCAAGGGGTGGTCCCTCACCGTGGTCTCTATCCGTCTCAGGGTCGCGTGGCTTGTTAGGCGTGGTACCTTCTCGACACCATAAGGGGGTGCGCAACAGGTGGTCTCTCACCGTGGTCTCTAGATTCGTTTCAGGGCCGCGTGGCGTGGCAGGCGTGGCACTTTCTCGACACCATCGAGCGTGCGCAAGGGGTGGTCCCTCACCGTGGTCTCTATCCGTCTCAGGGTCGCGGGGCGTGGCAAGCGTGGCACTTCCTCCACACCACAGGGGGTGCGCAACGGGTGGTCCCTAACCGTGGTCTCTATCCGTCTCAGGGTCGCGGGGCGTGGCAGGCGCGGCACTGTCTCCACGCCAAAGGGGTGCGCAAGGGGGCGGGGTTCCTCACCGCGGTCTCTATCCGTCTCAGGGTCGCGGGGCTTGGCAAGGGCAACACTTTCTCGACGCCACAATGGGTGCGCAACGGGTGGTCCCTCACCGTGGTCTCTATCCATCTCAGGGTCGCGTGGCGTGGCAGGCGCGGCACTTTCTCCACGCCATAGGGGGTGCGCAACGGGTGGTCCCTCACCGCGGTCTCTATCCGTCTCAGGGTCGCGGGGCGTGGCAGGCGCGGCACTTTCTCCACGCCGCCGGGGAAGTGTAAGGGGTTGTCCCTCACCGCGGTCTCTATCCGTCTCAGGGTCGCGTGGCGTGGCAGGCGTAGCACTTTCTCCATGCCACGGGGGGTGCACATATAGGTGGTCCCTCAAGCTGAGTTGCGAACACCTCGGCTCGAGCAGTTTGAGAAAGCTATGTTTTGCACGCTGGCGCGTCGGTAGCGAATTCACCACATGTTTAGTGGGGTTATAATTTTCTTCCCATCCGCGTCGCACCCGCGTCTCACTCACACCCCCGCCTCCCTCCCCTTCTCCTCCTCCTTCGTCCGACACCCACGCGCAACACACACACACGTCTGGCGTGCGTGCGCACGCACACACTCACACTCAAACACACACACACACACACACACATTCCAACAACGCTAGTGCACGCCTGGCGTGTTCACTGCATCGTACACCCAAGAGACATGCACAACAGCGCTAGTGCACGCCTGGCGTGTTCACTGCATCGTACACCCAAGAGACATGCACAACAGCGCTAGTGCACGCCTGGCGTGTTCACTGCATCGTACACCCAAGAGATATGCATAACATACTTGGCAGCCACATGGTCACACGTCCCGAGACGGCCCCACACGCATCAAACACATACACATGAAGTGCCACACATAAAAGACGTATGTCGAAGGGCCAAGAAGGCGTGGCACTTTCTCAACCCCAGGGAGGGTGCGCAGTGGGTGGTCTCTCACCGCGGTCTCTATACGCGCCAATGCCGCAGGGCCTAGCAGGCGTGGCACTTTCTCTACTTTCTCGCAAGTTTCGCGTCAGCTATCATCACGCAAGACACATGTTAAGTATGTGGGGTTCCCGGGTGGCGTAAGTTTCCCCGACTCGAAGGGGGTCCCTAAACGAGGCTTAGGATCTCTCCGACGGCCCCTGGGCTCCAGCCGCCCCGCGTCTGTACTCCGGCTTCCACTCGGCGGCGGCGTGCCTCCTCGCCAGCTGCTCCAGGTCTCCCTGCGACTGCTTCCTCGGGGAGGTCTTGGGAGAAGAGCGGTCGGAGGAAGGAGGACGAGGAGGAGGGGACACCAGGGCTTCGAGAACGAGAGAGAGAGAGAGAGAGCGCGAGAGGAGGGGGAGGAGCGAGGAGGGGAGGAGGAGGAGGAGGAGGAGGAGGAGGAAGCCACCCAGAACTGCCCTCCCCACTTCTCCCCGCCCTCCCCCCGACCCAAACAGGCTCAGGACTGGCCCCTGCACCTCTCCCACGGTCCATCCCAAGCAGTTTTCCGAACTGCGTCCAGCCATGGCCACGAGGGACCTCCTGGAAGCCCCAGGAGGCCCGCGAGGGGGGTACAGATCAAAATCCTCACCTCAGGCTCCCCTTGCGAGGCTTGGGGCTGCGCATGGGCAGCCCCCCGAGGTCGGGCCCTGGGACAACCAAGAGTGGATCGGAGACGAGAAAGCACTGCCCACGGGGGAGGTCGGCGAGCATCGGCCTGGAATCGGCGATACGTCGCCGATAGAACGGCGATGGGCCCCCGATAGCGAGACCGCATGTTTCTGGGAGGGGTGGGCCATATGCATTCCCCTCCTGTGCCTATTCCCCCCTGACGTGTTGACCCCGAGGGAAGGGGTCGAAACTTCTGCTCCGTCCGCCGGCGTCGCAGGGCGGCGAGATCTATACTTCTGCCCTGATTCTGGCCAGGCCCACCCTGAGGCCAGGAGTGTGCTTTCGCCCTCCTGCCCTTGGCCAGGGAGGCACGGACATCGCTCCTGGGCCCAGGATGGGCCTGGCCAGCGGCGGTGGGTATGTACAAATCCCGTCGCCCAATGTCGGAGTCCCAGGTCCCAGCCTTCCTGCTCTCCTCGGACGGGCCGTAGTAGTCGCCAGGCCCAGGTTCGCCCCACGCCACCTTCATCTCTGGGAAGCGCCTCGCCCTCGACACCTGAAAGAGCCACAATCACGTTGATATCCATGCCCTCCTCCTCCTCCTCCTCCTCCTCCTCCTCCACCTCCTCCTCCTCCTCCTCCTCCTCCTCGCTCCTCGCTCCTCCTCCTCCTCCTCCTCCTCCTCCTCCTCCTCGCTCCTCCTCTTCGTTCCTCGCTCCTCCCTCCACACGCTCCTCGGAACGAGGTCTGGACGCAAAGGCGCGATCTCATGGGTACGCGATCCCATGGATACGCTCCGCGCGAGGCATTCGCGCGAAGCCGCCATCATTCCATAGGGCCGCTGCCGAGGAGTCCAGGCCACGAGACCACGGATGTGGACTGCCGTCGCGCGCAAGAGGATACGGGGAGGGGGGAGGGCGTCTTAGAAAGACACTGCTTCTGAAAAGGCGCCGGCCCTACATCTACAGACAAGGCCAGGGCGTTTTCTAGGAAAGGGTGTTTCTAAGAAGACTTCCCCCTCCCCCTACCTCCGTGTGCGCGTGGCCGAAGTGTGGGCGTGTTCCACGGCCCACGGGCACCGAAAACGAAGGCGCCTGCTTCTTGTCCCTTCTGTCCTGGCAGGAGGGTGGGGGCGCAAAACTCGAAGGTCAAGGATCGAGATTGTCGGACGCGACGCCATCTCACGAGACGAGTGGGCCTCCAGGATGCCTCCCCGTGACCGCTATTCCCAGCGGGGGGTCGCCGTGGAAAGGGCGACGGCGAAGAGGAGGGAGTGGAGGGGCATATGCAGATACATGTACACATGTGTGTATGTATACATGTGTATTTATGCATGCATATACAAACACACACACATATATAGTACTGTAAAACTTGGTCATTGTTTACAAAGGCTCCGTCGTCGTCGCCGTCGTCGCCGCCGTTGCCGTCGTCGTCGTCGTCGCCGCCGTCGTCGTCGTCGTCGTCGTCGCCGCCGCCATCGTCGTCGTCGGCGTCGTTGCCGCCGCCGCCGCCGCCGTCGTCGTTGCGTCGCCGTCGTCGTCGCCAGGACGGGGAAAAGGGGGGGGGGAAGGGGCGCAGAGCGGCAAGCGAGCGCGAGGCAGGAGAGGGCCCAGGTCGGGGGGGGGGGGCGAGGATCAGGATGAGGAGGATGCGGAGGATATCCTCGCGCAGGGAGCGGGAGGAGGCGGTGGCGGCGCGGCCGCGATGACGTCGAAAGGACACGCCGAAGGCGATCCTGATGGTGCCCTGCCCCCTCCTAGCAAGATTTTCGCAGCATTGTTCACAGCAGTGCCCTGCACCGTCTTCCACGCGTCTCTTTGTAAGGGCCGTCGGATTCACAGATCACACCGCGCGTCCAAAATGGAGGCGGGAGGCCGGCAGCGGCCAACAATGCGCGCATGCCAATCTGGACTATGCCATGCGACCTTTCGGCGACAACTGCGAACTTTCTGTTGCCTGGGACGGCGGCGCCGCGCGCAATCCTAAGCTCCCGGCAAGCAAGCGCAAGCTCCTGAGCACCATCTGCGAAACAATATTTCAACTCCTCTCCTGGCGCCTTGAGGTTCACCAAAAATTGCAAACATGCGCGGCCGACTTGTCATGAACAACCTGCGCCGCAATGCATTTCGAGAACCGACCGCAAAGCGTCCGGCACGCAGTTTCCCCGTGGAGCCCCTGCGAGAGCTCATCGGCCGCAAACCAGTGACCCATGGTGGCAAGGCGTCCGGAGCAAGGATGGTCAGAGCACGGCCTAGGAACCTTCCGCCCTCTATTCTTGCTTTTCTGCGCTGCAAGCGCAGCGCCTCGGCTACACTGCACGCGTCAAGGCGTGGGTTCTCGGGGGATGAGAGGGGGGATGTTCGACGGAGGCTGCGTCCTTTTTGTGACGCTCTACATCTCAACGCCTGCTTCCTCAGGTTCGGCCAGTGGCTCGGCGACGTCGACTAGATCATCGCCGCCCGGGCCAACATCTTCGTCCACTTCAGGGGCGCCAGGGGCGGGGGTATAATCAAAGCGCCCACTCTTGCTGTCGCGGGTTAGACTCCCCGAGACTGCGCTCCACGAGCTGCCCGCATTCCCCGCCTCGAAGACCCTCGACCGAGGTCGGCGGCGACGGCGCAGGCGCAGCGACGCCCGTCGCACTGGGAGTCCAACCGCACTTGCGGACGAGCTGAAGCGAACAATACAAGTACGTGGCCACGTAGAAGCGGCAGCGGCTCGCCCGGCTGCACCGGCCGTCCGCCCTCGCAGCTCGCACGCACGTCTACGGCTGTGCGGGTCTGGACGGGGCAAGCAGGGGGGGCCACCTGCAGCCTCCACACAACCCAGAAATACCTTGGCGCTTGGCCTGGCACCGCGCAACTCCACCTCTCGAGAGTAGCGGCTGCCTTGGCGACTGCGCAGCTCCATTGACCTAGCGCCTCCCTTCCCGGCAACGTCAAATACGTCGCTCTTCCGTCTACGGCCAGGTTGACTCTATGTCCATCGGGCAAAAGTAAACATGGGAATTGGCCCGCCGACCAATACAAACTAACATCATGGTCAATGCGCCGTTCCCCCGCGGGAAATGCATTCGGAGTCTCGGGCAGAACTGGAGCTTTAAGATGACTGTCTTCAAATTTCCGGCATGCCGCGCTGATTGCGCCGAGGGCCCTGCTGGAACCTTCGGCAGCGTTCAAAAGTAATGCCCGGAGTTAATTTCCGATTCTAGCCCATAGCGCCGGCGCTCCTTATAAATGCGTCCGCAATGAGATTTGCGCCGCAGCCCGCGTCAACAATGAAACGCATTGAGCCAGGGAGAACATGATCGTTCCTTCGATTGCCCGCGGCAGCATCGCTTTCGTCTTCATTTTCCCACGCGAGCAACAGCTTCCAGACGTCATTCTCAAGTTCGGAGGCTCTTGCGCACGGATGATAGAGATGATGCTCTCGATGTGAATGCCATTCGAGACTTCACCTCCCTGGAAACTTTCCATCTATCCACGACAGAAGAGGTGGGCTCCTGCCCATGTCGGGCCCTCCTTCTGGTGGTAGCAAGTGTCTTAGTACGTGGGTGAAAAACGAACTGAAAAGCCGCGCGGGACGGAACGTTCCGTCTTCGCGCAACTAGGCTTTGGAGCGGTGCCATATGCCGTTTTGATGGCAGCTCTCGGAAGCAAGGCGTGCAGCATGGATACGACAGGGCCTTCCCTCTCTATCATGTCTGACATTGTAACCCGCGCAGAGCCCCCCGCGTCTCTGAGGTATCCCACATGTGGAATGAATTCTAAATGGGCACTCGCCATGGGAGAAAAGTGCATGCCAACGCTGGCCAGCAACTCGAACTACGCACCGAGTCTTAATGGGGCTCGGCAATCATCACTACTGCTTACCATCTCGTTCACTCGACGCCTCCTTGGCATGGGTCTTCCAATGGACCGATGACCTAGAGCGAGGACCCCCAAAAATGCATCGGATAAGTATGACAGCCATAACCAATATATTGCAATGGTACTCAGCGCCCCCTGGAAGCCTAATGGCTGCGCCATTGACTCCTGGTGGCCACCGTCGCGGATGTCCTGGGGTGTTGTCGCGGCATCGTCAGCGGTCGCCGAAGCAACATCCACTTCGATCCGTCCAATGCCAGCAGGGAACATTGCCCTCGCCCGTGCCACTCTCTTTGCTGCGAGCACCGTTCTGGCTTCCTCACTGCGGGCGTCGGATGCGGGCACGGCATGGGACTTAGCGACGTTGGCCGCCGCAGACTCTGCCTGCGTCCGAGCGCGATCGTAGCCAATTTTCCTTCCTGCTTTCAGTGGGGCCCCCTTCCGTCTGTCCCTCTTCGGGACTTTTTCTGGCGGCGCCAGTTTCCTGCGCTGTCTGTTGCGCGGATGGTCGCGCTGAATGCCTCTGCATTTGTTTCGAGAAAAGGCAAGGCGCGCGACCTTTCTCCCGCAATTCCCCCGAGGGGATCTTGGGCGAATTCTCGGCGCCAGTCGGGCCAGGAGTGGCCGATCGATCTTTGGGATTGCCCGCGCCCTGGACTTCTCTTTTCTTTGGTTTATCCTACCCCCCCCCGCTCCACCAGCCAAATGTCCTTCGTGGTGCAGCGCCTGGCTTCGCAGCCGGCCGGGCCAGCTGCGGGGCGGGGGCGGCCTTGCGCCCCCCGGGGCTGAAATGTCAGACATCCTACCTAGGTTCTGTTTTGGGCAAGCGCGCCCCTTCAACGCGCATTTACGCGCGACGCCCCTTTTCACTCGTCGTCCTTGACCTCGCCCGCGGGTTGCCCCAAAGGGCCACCGTGGTCAGCTGGGCCAGGGGCGGCGCTTGCATTATCGCGGCGACCTCGTTGATTGAGCGTCTTCTTCCGACAATCGAGGTTCAATGAACTCCTATTCCTTTTTCCATGCGCTTCTGCAGCTGGTGCGACAAAAATTCGCACGTGTTGACATCAATTCCAATATTTGCGTCGTTGAGCTCGCATCGCGCGGTCGCTCGTTGCATCTTCGGAACATGGTTCATCTGCTCACGAAAGTTCTCATGGGTGGATGCTGCCATCTCTGGCGAGGGCCTGGGTCCTCCATGAAGTTCACGTTGCGAAAGGACAGCGATTCATTATTGCAACGATGCAGATCTTCGCCAAGACTGTTCTTCTTAACGACAACCTTATACATATTCCGACGACTCATTTTCCTGCTTTGCTCCGCGCGCACGGACAGCCAATTGCGCTTCAAACATATCATATCTCGCCCCGTGAGCAACCGCGATTAATGGTGAGCGTCTGGCTCCACGCGATAAACTTGAGCAACGAGATGGGACTGCCGCGGAGGGAGATGCTTCTTTTGTCTCCCGGGGAAACTTCTATCATATCCGAAACGGTCCTCGCATCCAGAGGTTCGACGTCCCCGAGTCTCTTCGAACGCGAGAGTCTGGTCCGAGCTTCGAAGCTTCAGCAATCCAGGGTAGAGCACCCCTCGCACCTGGGGGCGCAAACGATGATCTCGTCGCGCGGAGCTTCCGCTTGCGAAGCCCCGTCGGGCAAAAAAAGCAACGACTTAATCTCCGTTTTGCCCGCCCGACTCCCAAATTCCAATGGGTGAATGGTGGGGGCCGAAGAACCTCGACCCCCGCTCCCTCGGCCCCCTCCTCCGCCGCCTCCGCGCCCAAGGCGCCCCTCGCCCCCTCCGCCCCCGCCCCCGGTTAAACCGGGGGCGTTCGGAGTGGCGCCAGGGGCCTCGTCGGGGGCATCGCGCGGCTTTTCAGGAGGGCCCTTCGGCTGCTCAACAAATTCTGGGGGACTCTGAACCCCCTAGCAATAATGCTCCACATGCCCGCGGGGGCCCCAGTCGACAGTCCTGGGCTCAGCAGAATCGCCCAAAGGACTCCGTTCCATGGGCTGCTTTGCTTTCTGGATTTTATCTCTCATTCCGAAGGGTTCCCAGGATGTCCGCCAGTTGTTTGATCGAGAAGGCCATTCGCGCCTCTTCTTCGCATTTCCGAGATCGCCTACGATCTTCCACGAACCCTCTCTCGGCGGCTTCCGCTTCGGAGCCCGATTTCCCCTGAGCGCGTTGCGCGCTTCGCTCTGTCGCCGGGTCAGCGCGGCCCGTGCAGCGGGGCCTGGAACGCTGAG